TGAATCACGTTTCTTTATATCTCTTTCACCAACTGGATGTATTTCTCTTGTTCTTGTCATTATCTAAAATAACCTTTAATTTTTTAGCTCACTCTCCTCTCTCAATTTTGGAAAATAGGTTTCATAAGGAGAAAAATAGACTTTGGATCAGTTATTTCCAGAGGATAAGACAGTGCTGGGCACATTGTGGCTATTTAGTAAATATTTGTGAAACAATGAATGAATGAATGCATGAATGAAATGAATAAAACATAGACCCTGATAACTCGTTTTTTTTTTTTCTGCAAAGGAGAATTACAAATAAGGTCATTTATTCTTGCACAGTTGGGATAAGGTATTTCCTATGAACTATATACTGGCCTCTAAAAGTGGCGGCATCTAGAATTATTATTATCTTAGCCTAGGACATTTCTGATTACTCTCCTAGGGTTTTTTGGTTTGTTTGCTTGTTTTTGTTTTTGTTTTTTTCCGGGAGGGGGTTGATATTTTTATTCTTTCTAGCATTTTCCTGGCTGGTCTCCACTGGCCTTATCTCCTCACCCTCAAAAATATGAGGAAGTCAAGAACATGGCTGCAGCACTGAAGGGAAATCAGATTGGAAAGGATACTTAATTCTAAAGGATTTGTCCCTAAACCCAGCAAAGACATGTTAAATTTGAGTCCTTCCCATAACTCATAGTCTATCTCCATGGAAATGGGCACCATATGGAGTTAATTAGTAGAACAACAAAACAATCAATTAGTTCCTTAATTAGTTTTACTAAGAAATGATAACAAACAAACACAAACACTTTATTCCAACTAATGCCTGCACCACAGTGATAGTTTAATGGCCTTGGAAAGGCAGCCCAGGCACCGGGCTGCTGTGAACAAAGATTTATTCCCATGATATTGACAGGTTCCCTGGTCTCCGTCCAGCCAGTGTGTTTCATCTTTATGATCAATTATTTACAATATCTGAACACAGCCCAGGGGTCGTCTGGAGCTTTTCTGTCTAGATAGGGAAAAAATGCAATAACTCAAATCTTATGAAGCCACCAGGCTCTGAGATGATCATTCTCTGAATCATTTATTTGACAAACATTTACTGAGCATTTTCTATGTGCCAAGCATGGCATTGGGCATGGGGTAGAGAGGGGAATACGAAGTAAATGACAATGGGGCTTGCATTTGGAGTGGGGTGGCATATCTGAAAAGCCGGTAGACACAGATTCAGCTGTTATAGTCTATGTGCTAGGTAAGGGGAACATAATGCATTGAGGTAGTGGGCTGGGATGTAGGGGAGGGACCTAGAAAGGCTTTTTGGAAGACATGGTGGCTGAGTCTCCAGAGGTGAATAAGAAGCAGGTCCTACTCCACAGGTAGCCAGATGGAGTGAAACAAAGACAAATACAAGACAAGGAAGCCATAGACTCTGTAATCCTGTGGGTACATCCAAAGCCATTGTTTTCATTTCCTTTAAAATGGGGGGATGATATACAAACTTCTTTCAAAGTGTTGTTAGGAGATCAGATGAAAATACAAGCACCTGGTAAATCCACAGAGTTTTACACAACAAGGTATAAGATCAGAGCAGAGGCCAGCAATGAGTGACAGGTCCCAGGCATGCCTTAACTTTCTAAAGAGTTTGCAAAGGAAAAGGATATTCCAGGAACATGTGAGGTATATCTACACATGTATTGATTTCTATAGTATATACTTTTATAATATTTACATATATATATATTCACATATACAGATAGGGAAGCATAGCTGAGTATATATGGATGAAATATTTATCTGTCTGTCTGTCTGTCCATATATCTATCATACATCATCTATCATCTCTCTGTGTGTTATCTTTCTTCTATATCTGTCTATCTATCTATCTATCTATCTATCTATCTATCTATCTATCTATCTATCATATATCTATCTATTCACCCATCCATCAGTCTCTATATCATCTGTCTGTCTGTAGTCTATATATCATCTGTCTTCACAGAGCATCCATTTACTATTTGTGTAGGGGTAGGTATAGGTATGGGTGTGAGTGTGTGTATATACCTACCAGAGGTCAATCTGACATGTTCTTCCTTAGGAGCCTTCCACATTGATTTCTAAGGCATGGTCTTTCATTGGGCCTGGAACTCACCAAGTAGTCTAGACTGACTGGCCAGTGAGCCTCAAGGATCTGCCTTTCTCCTCTTCCCAAATTCTGGAATTCCAGGCACATACCACCATTTCTAGATTTTTACACATATGCTGAGGATTTAACTAAGGTCTTTGTACTTTTATATCAAGTACTTTACAAACTGAGTCATCTCCTTATCCCCTTATGCTGGTTTGAATGTAAATGATCTCCATAGACTCATATATTTGAATGCTTGGTTACTGGGGAGTGGCACTACTTGGGAAGGATTGGCCTTGTTAGAGTAGGTGTGTCCTTATTGGAGTAAGTGTGTCACCGAGGGTGGGCTTTGAGGTTTCAAGGGCCCAAACCAGACCCAGTAGTACTCTCTCCTTGCTGCCTGAGGATCCAGATGTAGAACTGTCAGCTACATCTCCAGCACCATGTCTGCCTGTGTACCACTAGGCTTCATGACATGATGACAATGGACTAAACCTCTGAAACTCTAGGAACCCAAAAGCAAATGCTTTCCTTTGTAGAAGTTGACATGGTCCTGGTATCTCTTCATAGCTATAGAACGTGGACTATGACAGTCCCCAATTAAAAAAAAAATAATATGTTAGTGATAAAATATTGAAACTGTGAAGAATAAGTTTGTCACCTTTCTAGCCAGACCCTTGTATGAAAAATCTTAAAAAATAATGATTGCTACCTTCTGTATCCTTCTAAGTCACTTTGTTCAAACAGTGTGTTTTAATAATCTTTTTCTTTAAAATGTACTATTATATAGTTTAACTTTTTCATGAATTACACCTAAGCCAAGGACTCATGTCTGTACCTTTGGATCTATTGCAGTTTTTTTTTTTAGTGGTTTAATGCTATTTTTTTAATCTACCTATCACCTAGCCTACTTGGCAAGTTTCAGAACTCAGTGAAAGCCCCTGTCTCAGCACATAGGGTGGAGCTAGTTAGATAGCACAATACTTTTTTTCTATGACTATTGACCTAGATTTGATCCCTAGATACCACATGGTAGAAGAAGAGAACCAACTCCCTCAAGTAGTCATCTGACCACATGTGCCATGGTGCATGTGTATGTACTCACACACAAATTCATATGTGAGCATGCACAGTAGATAACTAATAAAAAATGTTTACAAAAGAGCTTTAATGTGGATGGTCTCTATTTAATGATGCTTGAGGTTGGCTTATGGCCTCCACATACACATATACATGTATGTGCATCTATACCACATAAACATGCACACACACTTCCATACAGAAAAATGAATGTCCTGTAGGGATAGATGCTAGATACATGATAGATAGATGGCAGATAATATGCAAAACAGAGGATAGGTGTGATTTATTTAACCAGTCCTCACTCAACAAACATAGGTTATTTCTCATATCTTCTAACCTAAGCAATGAGTTGGGTTGGTATCTAAGCAGCTTCCCATGATGTATTGAATTCTCTGTTTCTTGAGATGGGATGTGTTGACCTCCTTGATTTTTATTTATGTCTTGAAGAGTAATTAATACTCTGTTTTATTGTATGATATTTTCTTTTTATCTATTGTCAGTAAGAGCTGAAATTGATTTGAAAACGCTGTTTAAAAAACATGCACATTAAATTTAGGGTAAGGATTACAGGTATCCAGATCCATGCAGAGAATCAGCTATTAAAATACCTTTACAGAAACATAAAATGACATCCTATGACTGGTGGGCACAAGAATTTTCCCTTCTGTCTTTTACTCCTACTTGCAACCCCACAGGTGTTAAGATTTTAATTATGCTCTTCTAATCCACTAACTGGTCAACCTATGACAAATGCCTCTTGGTACAATTTGAACAAAGAACTTGTAGTAGACATTGGCAGATGAGTCTAACATTACCCAGAATAGCTATGTTTCCACATTTAGTTTGGGAAACAGAAGAGCCTAACTAAGCAGTTGCAGGAGAGAAGCCAGAAGCATGTGGCATATAGCATCCAGTAGCCTTGGATCCTTACTCTGTCAAGTCCTAAAAGCACTGTGGTCTCTTAAACACTGTTCATTTGCAGCTATACAATGAGGGAATCTGTTCTATTGCTCCAAAGAGGAATAATAGAAACCATAACATGAGGGGACTGGATTCACATCTTGATTCAATGTGACTGTTGTTGATTTTTTTTTCACTAGTCCTTAGGTTACATCAATTATATCTTAATCAAATCCCGATTATTATCTTCAGGCTTGGATAATGCACATCTTTCTATCTTCCTAACAATAGGGGCACTTCAGAGTCACCACAAGCACATTTGTACTCCATTCTGTAGAAGGAACATGCACCTACAGAATGCTAATGCTTTTCTCTGAGCTAACCTTGAATCTAGATGTCATCAAAACAGTGGCTCAGTAGGAAAACAGGTCTCAGCAGCCTTGTGTATGTGTGAACCCTCCCCTGCTACATACTGTGATGATAATGAGAGAGGAGCAGAATCTACCTCCTCTACACAGAGAGAGGATACATCAAAGAAAAGTCACCAACACCATAAATCTCAGAGACAAGAATAACCACCTGACCAGAGGGTATTTCCCCCTCCTATATGAGCTGCTGGTTAAAGATGAAATGGAATGGCTCTTTAGATGTCAGCCCACTGTCTTCTCAGATTGCCGACTGGCTTTCTGAATGGAACAGAGTTTGAAAATTCAGTTTCTGGTTTTTGCTTATGTGCCAGGTGATAGGAACTAGAAACAGTTAAAATAATGACTTTAATGGAAGACACTTTTCCTAAGGTTTGTCCAAATGCACTATAGAGCTCTGAAATCAAAACCTTAGACATACCACATGATGTACATGTCGGTGTGGATTCTCTTTGAATGACTTGTTTATTTTTCAGTCTCCTTTCCTGTAAAATGAGGATATTAATAATGATATGAAGATGATGATGATGATGATGATGATGATGATGATGATAAATCAGCTGTGAGGATTAAATGTACTAACAGAGGGATTACTGGAAAGAATGCTTTCTTGCACAAAAGTGCCCTGTAAGTATTTTTTGCTGTTTTGAGCTTCTCATATTTGCTGGCTTACAGACTGCTAGGAAAACTTTCCTTTGAACCAATAGTTTTCTTTGTGAACACAACAAATTTCCCTTCTCTTGTGTTTCTTCTACCTTCAGTGAACTTGAAGGAGCGACTATTATGGACAACACAAAGACAGCCTCTTTTCTTCAGTTCTTACCATCCTCAATTAGACAAAGAAAAACAGCACAATCACATCCTAAGTCTGTCTCTGCCATCGGAGGGGTGAGCCTGTATCCAGACCCTCAGATTCTCCTCAGTTTGAAGAAAATAATTTTACCCTCTCACATCCAATCAATATCGTTGCTGGGTCTATTGTGAGCTGATAATTTAAATACAATTGTCTCCTTAGCAACCATCCTTTTATGGGCTGCCTTCCTGCCTTTGAAAGAGCTGGCAGTTATAAAATTCACACTTTCAGCCAGAAACTTTCTTTCTTACTTTTTGGGTTTTTTTTTCTTTAATTTCTGCAGGAATCATATTCTCTTCCCAAACAAATTCTTGCAAAGATGGAAAAATGGAACAGGATTTTTAAAGTAAGATGAAAATTGTCTAATTATAAAGGTAATTAAGAAGAATTTTACAAAAAAGAGGTGAAAGAGTCTTTACTGCCTTCACTCCTTAGTTACAAGACCATATGGATGGAGTTAGTTCATCAGATGCAGGTAGGATGAACTAGCATCTTAAGATGCTAGAGCTGGAAGAAGATGAAAGAGTCGTTTAGTTTTGTACCAACTTTCTCTGCCCTCTGTTTTGCAGAGAAAAAAACAGAAGACCTGAGGATTGGTAATTTCTTCCAAGGGCTATCAGCTCCAAGTGTAGAAGCTAAACTGGATCTATTACCTTGTCCTCCCTCCATCTATTGCTGTCAAAATGTGGCCTCTGGATTTTCTTGGGAGAGGTAGACATGTGTTAGTACTATGTTTTGAAGTCATCTCAACCCTCATTTGAATTGCTGGTTCTGGTAGGTTTTCCATTGTCCTCATTTTCCTTTGATTAATGGGATATTTCGGAACTTGTGACTACCAATTCCCAAATCAAGAAAGTACCAAACAAGCCTGGCTCTTGTCACTTTGATGACGAGTCCATCTTTAGGAGGATTGGAGAAGTCCAAGTCTCTGTGTCCCCACCTACGGTCATGATAATAGTACACTGCTTGAGCTGGGGAGGTGGCTCAATTGTTAATGACATGAGTTTAATTCCCCTTCAGAGTGTAAGACACATAAAATTCCAATGTTGAAAAAGCAGAGAGAAGTGGATCTCTGGGGTTCACTAGCCAGCCAGTCTAGTTTAACTGGTGACGTCCAGGCCAATGAGGAATCTTGTCCTAAAATACAAGGTTAACTGTTCTCTGACCTCTGTATGGGTGCACACACACACACGCACACACACACACACACACACACACACACACACACACACACACACAAACCCACACTCGTACAATCATAGTTTATCTCTTGATATGAGTCTACAATAAAATACTGAATGTTAGTTTTCTTTCCTTCTCTTCAGATTTCTTCTGTATGTTTCAAAACTCCTCACTCTCTTTAGCTGGAAAACATGGGGATCACTTAAATGTGATAATAGAAATTGTTCCCCAGGCTGGTCCAGTTCAAGGGAAGTCAGGGAACATGATCTTTATCGTAGAGGGTCCAGTATTCTAAGACAAGTTCAAGTACACTTCTCCTAAATGCCACCCACAAAGTGAAAAAAAAAATCAAAATTCTCTTCTTGGCTGCTCTTGGCAGCTGTGATTAATCATTTGATAACAAGACAGTTGAAGCACAACTATTTATTTGCATTGGATCAAGGAGATTACAGAATATAACATTTTCATAAATTTGTTAGGATTCTAGATATATGTTAGCATGATAAATAGTTTAGGTCACAATAGATGTTTTCGTTTGAATAAAGTTATTTTGGGGATATATTTACATGATGAAATAACCTATTATTTATCCAACTGCATTTTTATGAACTAATTTTTCTTTTTGTGCCAACTTGCAATGGTGATTCATTACTTTCTGCCCTTCAATTTTTCTTGCCTTATAAATGGTTTCTTGTTTATTATTTTAAAGTGTAGAACTCCATTCAGATCCATCGACCAGTTTCTCATGTGATCTTTGTTCTAAGCAAACAGCTTCAAAGAACCTCGAAGTCACTTAAAAGAAAGTCACTTTATTCTAACTGTATCTGGGCCCTGGAGCTTAATGGGTTTATGACCTTGGATGAATCACCTTCTGTCTTGGAGACTCAGTCTCCAAGGACTTAGTAGGTTTGGGGTGCAAAATAAGCACTCAGTAGTTGTTGAAAGAAGGTTGTGGGAGAATGAGGTACAGAGTATGGGAAAGGGATTTAGTTGGAGGGCTCCAGGAAGAAGTCTTTAAAGGAGGGCTTGTGCTGTTTCCCAGGGAGAGACCTAGGAATCTCTTTTTGTACCAGTTTGTCCATTTTCTGTTTCTTCATTTACAGTAGGAAGAGGCTGTAAATTCCTGAAAGGGTGTGGATTCCAGGTAATTTACTCAGGCTGGGAGTTAATTCCTGGTGGGGGAGGGTGGGTTTTATTTTCCAGGGTGGGACATTTTATACTTACTTCCTTTAAATTATTTAAGCCTGAACAAGTTAAAAACTGAAGTAGAAAATTGATAGTTGCATGCCAACAATATGATTCAGTAGGTGGTAGCAAGATCTTTGTTTGAGCAAATGTTAAGAAGGTTCTTGAATTTTCTGGATGAATTTTCTTATAAAATCTAGCTTTAGCAAGAGTCCTACTAAGTCAGGTTAGTGCGAATTCCCCATCTTTGATTCCCTTCGCCCATAACTGATTGGATTCTTCCCTTTTTTTCACTCCTCAAGTGACGTCTGATTGCCTGGCCTGTCTTCAGTAGCGGTTTCTCCAGAGTTTCCTTTTGTACTTAACATTTACCTTAGTAATGTTTTCTTAGTAACTCAGTCACCTCCATCCTGCATCTCGGCTGTAAGTTTCTATTTGCCTACTTTGTATGAGGAATTCAGCTCAACTCTGCCCCTTGCAATGGTCCCTTTACCTGCCTCAGTGGTCCTGAATAAAATCTTCTGTTGCATTATTTAACATTTGATGTTTTTTGTTTTTCCAGATAGGGATTCTCTGTGTTACCTTGGCTGTCCTGGAACTAGCCCTATAGTCCAGGCTGGCCTTGACCTCACAGAAGTCTGTCTGCCTCTGCCACCTGAATGCTGGGATTTAAGGTGTGTGCCATTGTTGCCCATCAGCATTTGGGAATTTTTTTAAAATAATAGCTATCATAATAACAGAACAGAAAGTAGATGTATGAAGAACTAGGAATCTGGAGTTCCAGGTTTAGTTTACATTGCTGTATGATCAGAAACAAAGCCACATGCTCACTCTCTCTGTGTGTAAATTTCTTCATCTGTCTGTAAATAAGTTAAGTTATATGGCCTTGGGTGATATATATTTTTAACAGTTTAGTTCAGTGTTTCTGGGGTCATGAAACTTGGGAGTCTATAAAGATATTCTTGAAGCTTCTTGAATTATGGGGATTTTTATGACTTTTCGCTTTGATTTCAATTTCCTTTCACAAATTTTATTGACATTGAACATTTGCATAGAGTGAGTGAGACTTTTTTTTTTTAACACTGAATGTTTTTCAAATCCCCAGCCAAGAATATGGGAAGCTGGTAAGATCCACCTTTCTTTAAAGGAGATTTGCACATTATTCTAGAAATATCAGGTAGCTTACAAACATCAGTACACTGCTTTAAAAATCACAGGGAGGGAAGATGGACCATTTGATTGAATGATGGACCATTGATGAAATGATCGGGAATGAGAATGAAAGACTAGAGAGCAGGTGCTGGTGACGGGGAGGGGGGGGTTATTTTGTGTACTGTTTGTAGTGAAAGGAAGGAACTATCTTAGGCCATTCAATCAACTGGTTACTTAACAGATAACCACTGAGTACTTACTAAGTATCAAGCACCCATACAACATTAAATAGAAGGCAGCAGTGATTTACTCCCTGCCTCCCAAGGAGCCATGGACTAGTGGAGCAGTTGAACTAGTAAGGCAAAAATGTAATTCAGCGAGATGGGAGTCACGGTAGAGCAAGCATGGAGATGGTGGTTTCCAGAGGAAGGTGGCTTTTTGTTTGTGCGGAGACTGTGGTCAGTGGTAAAGGAGATTCTGAGTGGAGCTGTGGGAGAACAGTAAGAAGTTTCAGGCAGAGGAAATGCAGAGGGGGGAGCTCTGAGGATGAAGAACTGCTTGTGCAAGGGTGCACACACATGAGGAGTGAAAGGGTGAATAAGAAAGACTAGCTTGCAGGAGTTCACTATTGGAATACAAGGGGTGACATGGGGATGGGGATTTAACTTAGTGGTAGAGGCCCTGGGTTCGGTCCTCAGCTCTGGAAAAAAGGGGGAAAAAGGGCTGACATGTAATGTTTAATATGACCATATCGTGAAGGACTGTGTAGACCCAGATAAGGAATTTTATCTTTTACACAAAGGCCAGAGAATCCATGGGAGATCTGACAGCAAGGCAGTGACACTCAGGCTCATGTTTTAATGAGATCTCAGTAATATATGTTTGTGCTTAGGGTACACTGGTAAAGCCATCCTGGGGGCAAGGCTGGCCAAAGAGGGTGGGTTTTGGTTGTTCAGAAGACAGATTATAGGCTGGCCAGGAGTACCACAGGGGAAGTGGGTAGGAGGTGTGTGTGTGTGTGTGTGTGTATATATACATATATATATATATATATACACAAATACGTGTATATGTACACACACATATATATGCATATATGTATATATATGTAGGCTAAATAAAGATTAGGTAGGAGAGGTTGTGTTAGTCACTCCTCCATTGCTATTAGAAATACCTAAGAAATATAACTTAATGGGAAGAATTATTTACTTTGGTTCATGGTTTCAGACTAACATGGAGGGAAGGAAATGGCATAAGCAAATCATCTCATGGCAAACAAAAGCCAGAGGGAAAGAAAATGCCTGAAAGTATAGTATTTCTCATTTTCTTTTTTTTAATTTCATCTGAGCCCTTGACCTATGAGATAGTAATACCCGTATTTAGGACAGGTCTGCCCTGCTTAGCAATCCCTAGAAATTCCCTCACACACATTCTCAATTGTGCCTTATTAGTCTCCTAGGTGTTTCTCAACCCAATCCAATTGACAATCAAGTGTCTCTATCAGAGAAGTAAAGGGGGCAAGAGAGAGTAGAAGACCTCTAGTCTACTGGCTTGAATGATATTTACTTAAATTAGGGAAAGAACAATTGACAAGATGACTTTGTGCAGGTTGAGTTTGAGATGTTCGTGAGACATCCAGACATGGAAGTAAGGCTTAGAAGGGAGACAAGGAGACTCTTCCCTTCTATTATCTCATGGACTTACCTCCATAGCCACATAGAGTAGAAAGACAATGGTCACCACCAGGTTTTAGAGCCAAACTGGAACTTTGCTCAGTTAGTCACATGCCTAGTGACTCCGGCAGGCTCTATCCTCTTTGAGTCTCAGATATTTAATTTCTAACTTGGAGAAGAGAAGCCTTGCATCCTATAATATCTGGGTAGCTTAATATACTAACAGATAGAGAAGATGAACCAGAAAGGGCTGCTAGCCTCAAGCTGCCCATTGTTTATATTTTAATAATCCATTCAGGTCCTTTCCCCAGTATTGCAGAACAAAATCTTTACAAGTCAGGATCTAGATGTCTTTTAGGGAAGGTATTTTCTGTGCTGTGGAAATAGCTTTGTCAACTATTAGGGCACTGGAAAAGAAATGGTAGAGTGTGTTTTACAGAGAGAGGAGAAATGGGAGGGAAGACAGTGGAAACACAAGATAAATAGATGAGGGAAGGAGAGGTGAAACAATTACAACAGGTAAGAAAGATTACAGGTTATGGGAGAGGAGCAGCTGTCAAAAATTCTGTGATGGTTGTAGGACTAAGGGGCACATTAAAACATGG